TACATCTTAGCTGTCTTTGTGGTGTCTATTGTTCCTTTCCAAGGACTGTTTCATAATAAGAAATAAGCAATTTCAGGAATATAAGATATACAATATATTAAGAAGAGTTCTTGAGGCTCTGAAAAGGTTCTAAGACACTCAATGTCTTATAACTTTAATACTCAAATATCAGAATAGACTTATCTAGGAAGTCAGAATTCTTCTACCACCAAGGCACTGCAGAAAAGGCAGAGATATGAAAAGGGAGACATGCAACTGCACAGTTAACAACTGACACATAATCCAGTAGGAAAGAATGGAAAACCACCTTTAAGTCCCTATGAAAACAGTGTAAGCTGAGGGAGCAGATGAGAAATAGGGTGTAAAAGTGATAATAAATATAAGTAACAGATTAGAAGCAGGAACTGAGAAGTGGCTGTTAACAAAAGAGAGAGGAGAAAGAATCATCAGACAAGCAGAAAGACCTATAAAGAAGAGTCATAAAAGCACATCAATCTGGGGCCATTCAGTACAACACAAATAGACTGATACCACCTAACAGTCCCAGGTATTAAGCCATATTAGAGGAATCACACATGAGGTTCTAAATGATGAAGCTACCATGTAATCGTTGAATCATGATCAGTATGCTCTCTTTTTTTGAAAGGAGGGTTTGTTTTTTTTTAAAGATTTCTACCAAACACTAATATAAAGTTTAAGATGTGGCACTTAAAAAAGTAAACTTATCCCTTCTTTCCAGTTACCTGGAAAGTGAATTTAGGTAGAATGACTCTCATTCCTCATGCAACTGTATAAGTGAACTATGGTTATAATTAATTGGATTCTCTTTGAGCTATAATTTCCTTTCTACCTAACACAGCAGAAAAACAGTGGATTTGGCTGCTAGGTGGTACAATGGACAGAGCACCAGGCCTAAAGTCAGGAAAATCAGAGTTCAAATCCAATCTTGGAAACATCTTAGTTGTGTGACTCTAGTCAAGTCACTTCACCTGTGTGCCTCAGTTTCCCCATCTATAAAAGGGGGATAATAATGGCACCTACCTCCCAGAGTAGTTTCGAGGACCAAATGAGATAATAACTATAAAGCACTTGGCACAGTGCCTGGCATACCATAAATGTTATCATCATCATCATGGGATTTCTTAACGTGAAAGGACCTCATTTACAAACGAGAAAACTGAGGCCTCTAGGGAAACTCAAGTTCCAAGTCATTTCATCTCTCTAAGCCTCCAATCCTCATCTGCACAATGGGAACAATAATGCTAAACCTACCAACTTCACAGGCTGTTGTGATGAGGAAAGTGTTTTGTAAACCTCAAAGCACTTCCTGCTCTATTTCTCCTCCCCTAAAGATACTAAATGCCAGTCCTCAGCAAAATCAGCAAACCTCCCTTGTCAGCATTCAGAGTTTCAGCTCAGAACACCCCCGAGGAGGGGGAGTGGGGAGAAAACACAAAACACAACAGTTTCATTTTTCCTATGCAGGCTCCAAACTGTCTTTCCTTCAGGCACCCCACTTGGACCCCACTTCAGATTGGCTACTCCAGGCATTCCACAGAGATAACACTCTGTGGCTAGAGTTCACAAACTTTCTGTGTGGTCAGAGAACACATTGGATTACATTCTCCCCTTGGCTTCTCAAAGACCTCCCACAAAGCGAACAAGATCCACCTACTTCCCTACCTCCTTTCTTCTATTCGGGAAGAATTTCCAACCCAGTTTTAAGTGACTGAGATAGTATCTTGTGTCTTTCTGGCACTTCTATTCACTCCTCAAACTTTAGCTACATATTCATATCTGTTATTTAATCTGCTAGCTATTAGATTTTCCACTACCAACAGGGGAATAACGCAAGTAGCATACTCGTACCACAATGATTTTTTACTTCATCAGGTAGATTTTAGAGAAGGGATTAATAAGAAAATCCAAGCAAGAAGGAATTGAACCAATTGTAGGGTATGTTTAAAATGGGAGAATTCCTTTCACTTTTAGGTTGGATTAGATGACCTCTGAGGTTTTTTTCAACTCTCTGGGTCAATGGGAAGAGGAAGTCATATACAGATGCTACAAAGTATTCATGACATTGCTTCCTTTTGAGTAAAGGAGAATGTTACTACTTTGGAAAGATGAAGGCAAGGTCTCAGGGGTACTATACCCATTTCACACATGGATGGACTGAGTGATTAATTAAGTACCTCACAAGGTTGTTATAATGATGAAATGAGAATATGCATGTAAATCACTTTTCAAAGTTTAAAATGCTATGAAAATGTCAACTGATGACTGGATTTATCCAAGGTCTCAAAGCAACTAGAGTAAAAGCCCACAAAGTATGCCACCTATCTCTAAGAAGGTTTAGTCAAAGTAGGTCCAAGAAAAGAAATTACCAGTAACATAATGGGGAAAAACACACTGGATTTAATGTCAGACAGTCTAGGTTTGAGGTCTGACTCAATAATGAATAAGACCTAGTTACACCAATTCTTAGCTGTGTGATCTTAGGCAAGTTCCTTGGTCTCTCAGAGGCTCAGTTTTCTTGTCTGTAAAATAGAGAGACTGATACTCACAGATTTCTTCTGAAGAAAACATTTTAAAAACATAAAACCGTTATTATTGCATGGCTATAATACTAGTCTTATTTGCCCAGTAGGGAGATAGTTCTGAAGCACTGGGAGTCAACTGGCCCCACACTTTTCCTTAGTCTTAGCAAAGAAACGCCAAAATATCAATGGAAAACTAAAGAACACATTGGGGGGTGGAGGGTAAAGGTGCCTAATAATTCATGATCTTGACAGGCTCTTGCTAATAAGAACCAAAACCTAACAACTTGACAAGTCTCCAAAGATCACTGATATGGTAATTTAAAATTGTTTGATTCAAAGATGATCTTGACACATTTTAAGGGGTAAAGTAAGACATCCTTCCCACGATATCATGTATGCAATATGCAAGCCAGAACCTAGCTGAAGAAAACAGGTCAGGCAGAAAAGAAATCAAGAGAAGAGATTGAAATAAATTTTAGGAAATTCTAAAAAAAGATTACAATTCTTCCACAAGAATTTTTGTTTGGGGACTAAATTGGGATAACCTGGAGTCATATTAAGGAAGGCATTAACAAAATGGAGCAGGTCCAAAGTCAAGAGACTGAGTATGGGAAAAAGAACATGAAACCAAGATCACATGGAACCACAGAATCTCAGGGGTTAAAGGATCTTAGAGGGAAGCCATATTCAAAGAGGAATTCCCTCGACAATGTCACTAACAAATGACTATTCCCAGGGTTAAAAAATCCAGTGACATGGCCTGTTCAATTTTTGGACATCACTGATTATCAACAAGTTTTGTGTTTTTGTTTTTTTCTCCTATCAAGCTTCACTCTGTCATTTCCATGACATGTGAGGTTCAGGTAAAAGAAGGAAAGATGGTTAGCCTAGTGAAGACAGGAAGGGAATATGATAGCTGTTTTCAAATGTTTGAAGGGCTGTCACGTGGTAGAGGAATTGGACTTGTTTTGTTTGGCTTCAAAGCACAGAGCTGGAACCAGCAGATAGAGGTTACAAGGAAGCAGACTTTCCCCTGAAATATCGCTTGGGGGGTTGGGGGATGGACTCTTACCAGTTGGAGCTGTCCAAAAGCACAGTGGCCTGCTTCAAGTAGTACTGAGTTCCCCCTCATGAATGGAGGAACTTCAAGCAGAGAATGAACACTTATCAGGGACATTACAGGGAGGAGTCCTGACCAGGCACAGATGGAACTAGAAAACCATTTCGGTTCTGAGTCACAGAGTCACACGAATACCATTCATGGCATTTTCTTGGCAAAGATACTGGAATGCTATGCCACTTTCTTCTCCAGTGGATTAAGGCAAACAGAGGTTAAGTGACTTGCCCAGGGTCACACAGCTAATAAGTGTCTGAGGCCGAATTTGAACACAGGTTTTCCCACCTCCAGTCCCCAGCTCTTGTCCACTGAGTCATCCAGCTGCCTCCAATGGCCTAATAAATGTATCTTAATAGATAGACTGTCTTCAGCATTCTCCCACTGGCTCTATCAGCACAATGCCCTGGCCCCTTCTATCCTTCATCTCATTTCTGCTAAAGTTGCTGAAAGAGAAGTGGAAAATGAAGCCCAGAAGTCAAAGGCTCAAGGTCACACAAGAAGTTAGGTGGCAGAGCCAGGATTTGAATCCAAATCTTCTGACTCCAAAATCCAGTATCCTTTCTACTCAACCCAGCTGTCTGAGTCAGGCTTTGAAGGGAAGGAAATGAATGTGTTGACTTCTACAGCCCTCTAGGACTAAAAAGTACTTCCACATCTGGTGGGAGATGCAAGAAGAGGCAGTAACCAGGTACAATTGCTTAATGGTGGGAGGGAAATGGAAAAACCAGGGGCCAAACTATGGCAGAGAAAATACAGCAGACATCAGATATGATAGGAAACTAACTGATGTGTAAAAAAGTAAGAGGTGCCTGTTAACAGTTTTTGAGTAGTACATTTGGAAACAAGCAAAACAGCTCATCATCAGGTAGCTGGCCTCATTTAAAGCTTATTTCTAAGAAGAAAATCCATTTGACTCCTTCAAGCTGGTTCAGAAAATCTGCACCCAGGACATAAAGCAACATTTGAACCTGAGGGGCAAAGTATAAAAACAGTGAGTTACCCTCACTATATGCACAAAGAGATTCCCAAACCACAGTGCTTGCAACAAGAGCTGTAATCTGATTAAAAAGAAGGGGAAGACCCACATCTATAAGCACCTGTGGCTTATAGCTGGAACTTTCAGTTTTCTGGTTGATTCCACATATTTAAAGGGTGGAAGAGACCTTAGACAGAATCTAATTTAACCACTACATTTTTCTTTTTCCTTTCTTTCTTTTTTTTGGCTAGGCAATGGGGTGACTTGCCCACGGTCAGACATCTAATAAGAAGTCAAGTGTCTGAGGCCTGATTTGAACTCAAGTCCTCCTGACTCCAGGGCCGGTGATCTATCCACTGCACCACCTAGCTGCCCCTCAACCACTACATTTTTTTAAAAGAAACTGAAGCACAGAGCCATCAGATCATTTAAGTAAGGCAATAAGGTAAGAAAAGAAACAATGTATATGTTTGTGTATGAATATGTATATTTATACTCAAACATACCTGTAAAGGTAAAAAGCATAGATCTATGTTGCATGTGCAATTGTTTACATGTTGTCTCCCCATCTGAATGTGAGTTCCTTGAGGGTAGGGACCATTTTTGCCATTCTTTGTATCCATAACCCTTGGCACAGTACCTGGCACATAGTAACGAAGCCCTTAAGAAATGGTTGTTGACAGTCCCTCTCTGGAACTCAATCATTTCATTTGCAACATGAAGGACTTTAGCCAGATGACATCTAAAAGCTGCTTTTATTATTATTTAATACTACACTTATGAAACACTTGATTGAGGGACTAAAAAGGAGGGTTTGGGCTTTAATAATCCATGCTACCATTGCTCACCTTCCTGGCACAGCTAATTGGGGCACTGTTGTTTGTCCATCCCCACTTCTAAGTGGGGGGGGGGGGTGTTAGATTTTAAAAGTCTAGTAAAGTAGCTGGATGTTGTTGTTGTTGTTGTTTCTGCTATTCAGTCATTTTAAGTTGTGTCCAACTCTCTGTGACCCCATTTGGGGTTTTCTTGGTAAAAATACTGGAATGGTTTGCCACATCCTTCTCTAACTCATTTTACAGATAAAGAACTGAGGCAGACATAGTTAAGTGACCTGCCCAGGGTCACACAGCTAGTAAGTGTCTGAGGCAAGATATAAACTCAGATCCTCCTGAATAAGAACTCTCTGAGCTGCGGTGTCCTCTTCTATAAAATGAGTTGGTCAGATGATGTTCTCAAGTCTTTTTCAGCCATAAAGCCTAAGATCTATGGGGACCACAGCATTTTGGGAATGGCCAAGAAGAGAGAACTGGGTCTAAAAGCTGACCCCTGAAAAGAGTTCAAGAAGGGCAGGGCTGGTGAAAAGGGAGACAAGAAGAGTATTCTACTGCCCACACCCAGGAGAAAGGCAGAGAGCTGGTACTTGGCTTGAGTCCAAGACCAGTGCAGCTGGGTTCACTATTACCAGAGGGCCCGGAAGCAGGGGGGGGGGGGGGGGCCCCGGCAAGAGAAAAGAAGAGAGGAGAAAGCAGGGTCTGTCTCTCCAGTCAGACAGCAGACCCCCAGAAAACAAATGAACACTTGATTTTAAGTCCTAGTGAAGGAATTTTGGTTCCCTTGACTCCACTTAAGACCCAATGAGAGAAATGCTGGCCATAAAAACCACCTGAGCCCTCACACCTTAGTAATCACCAAACCTAGAACCTATTTCAGCCCCATGATCCCAGTCCTCCCCTAAAGTTCAGAGGTGATCATATACCACTTCATCTAGGTTTATAAACACACAAAACCACGTCAAACCCCCCCCACCCAAGATAAAAGAGGCTGAGGTCAAGATAACAACAGTTCACATTCCTACAATACTTGAATGGTTACAAAACACTGGCCTCACAACAACCCTGTGAATCTTGGCTCAGATGTTGACTACCTGTGTGGCAGATAATGAAGATGATAAGGGGGGTGGTGGTGGTAGTGATGATGATGAGGTTAAAGATGATTATAATAATAAAATAACATTTAGATACTTCCTACTATGTTCCAGGAACTGTGTTCCAGGTCATTTTTGTTTATTTTTTTTGTGGTTTTTTTGGGCAATTGGGGTTAAGTGACTTGCCCAGGGTCACACAGCTAGTGTCAAGTGTTTGGTCTGAGGCCGCATTGAACTCAGGTCCTCCTGACTTCAGGGTCGGTGCTCTATCCACTGTGCCACCTACCTGCCCCCTGAGGTCACTTTTGAACTCAGGTCCTCCTGACTTCAGGCCCAGGGCTCTACCTACCACTCCATCTAGCTGCTTGGGTAGTGCAAAGTATCACCTTTTTATGAATTGGGGGAATTAAGGCTCAGAGAGGCTAAGGGACTTAACCAAGATCACATAGCGATAAAGCAAGCTTTGCATGTTTCCTTGCTCATTAGACTGTGAGATACTTAAGGGTAAAGATTGTATGGAGTGTTCAGGGAGGACTAGGCCCTCCAGTGTAAGGGCTTGTTGAACCCTTTCCAAGGCTGCTCATATCCTATGGCATCCACCTAATTCTCACCTGTGGCTCCAAGAAGCTGTGGCATGTGCAGCAGCGGTCACACCCTAATAAAACCATCTCAGCAGGCAGACTAAACCAGATTTGGGGGTAACTGACAGGCCTCAAAATCCATTGGTGAGTTAGGGGATGTCTATCCCAAGCATGTGAAGACTTCCCCCAGTAGAATGGGTGGGTGAGAACAATTTGTTCCAAGGGCCACAAAGACGGCAGAAGCGCTTAATGCTTAGTCAGACATGGAAGATGCCGGGGTCATCCATGGCATCCCAGGCTATCACCAGCCATCCGGACTTTTGTCTTGCCACTGGGCTCCAATGACTCAGGAAGAGAAAGTGGAGCTGATTGTGCAACTCTAAGTCAAGACATCACCCCATGACGCCATTGATTCTCTTTGAAAAGGAAGGATGAACAAAACATCCCTAGAGCTTAGCACAGGGCCTAACACGTAATGAGTGCTTAGAAGGGAGAAATTAGCATTTATAGAGTACCTACTATGTGACAAGAATGGTGTTAAACACTTTTTACAAATATTTTCTCATGTTATCCTCACAACAACCCTATGAGGCAGGTGCTATTATTATCACCATTTTACAGTTGAGGAAACTGTGACAAACAGAGGTGAAGTGATTTCCCCAGGGTCACACAGAGTCTGAGGCTGGATTAGAATTCAGGTCTTCCTGATTCCAGGCCCTCTATCCACTGCAACACCTCTATAGCCTCTAATAAATAATAACGTCAACCAATATTTACTAACTTCATTGACTACAGGAGTCCATCTTGTAGCTCTGTTTGGAATTATCTTTTAGCTCTTTTCTTTAATATCCCATTTCCTCTGGTCTAATGCTTTTTAGCATGAACTGGTTCAGAAAGACAAAATTCCACATACAATCCACATCAGTTTTTAAATTAAGCCACTACTAACTACTCAGGAATCTCACAAGGACTTCACTAAAGTCTAAACTTCTATAGTATCTACAGGGGAAAAAAGCTTTAATGAATAAATTAGTAGTAATTAATAATTGGTAGTAAGAAGGTTTGGGGAAATAGAAGAATAAAGATGCTTAGCCTACTTTAAAAATATATTATTTGTCAGGATTCTTTTATTAATTCCCTAATTTGTGTAATGCACTCTGGGCATGGACAAAAATGAAATAGGATCTTGCCCTCATAAGCCTTATATTTTATGGAGGATAAGACATGTAAACAGGTAAGTAAATACAAGGCCATTTGAAAGGCAACAGCTCTACCAAAAGAGGTATTATAGAGAGAAGGCTTCATTTATGGAGGAGCTAATAACCTGAGTAGAGCCTTGAAGGAAGGTAAGAATTTGTAGAATCACAGAGTACATTCCAGGCATGTCCTATTCGAATTCATAGAGGTAAGAAGTGGGATAATTAGTACAGGGAACAAATGGTAATTAATTTTGACTACATAAAGGAACTCTGGAAATAAGGCTGGAAAACTTAGGCCAGATTATGAAGGTTCTTAAATGCCAGTTTGGATAGTTAACAGTTTATCAAAGAGGCAAGAAGGGGATGTTTATGGTATCTCTAAGAGTGGGGAGGACAGATAGTGGGATCTGTGCCTTAGGAAGATTACTTTGACAGCTATAAGGTGGGCATATTGTACAGGGAAAAACCTGGAAATAGGGATGTCAATTAAAATCCTATTACAAAACAGTTCACGGGACAGGTAATGAGGGCCTTAGCTCTGGTACTAGCTGGGTGAGTGGAACTAACAGGAGAGATCTGAAGGTGATATTACTACTCACACTTTGTAATCTACTACAAATGAGAAGGAAGAGCAAAAAGTCAAAGATGATTCCAGAGTTACAAACCTGGATGACTGGAAGGATGGGTGCAACCAACAACAGAAATCATTGTCAGTTTGGAGGAGAGATAGATTTAAGGGGAGATTTTATGACCACTCAGCTTAGCCCTGAGCAGGCTCACTATTATCTGAACCCATGTTTATCATATGACTCCATTCCCTACACAAATTCTCCACTCCAAACAAATTAGTTTCCTTACTATGTACCCAACTTATGCCCACATCTATACATTAAACTATTCTCCCCTGTCCTTCAGAAGCTTTTTCTACCATCATTCTCTGCCTATTTAGAATCTATATGTCCCTTCCAGACTGAGCATGCATTTAGTGTGCTCCTATGAATGATTTGTTGCTTAACTCTGGCTTGTTAATAACCTCATCACTTTACAGAGAACACAAACCCAGAAAGGTTAAGAGTCCTGGCCAAGTTCTCACAAGTAAATAGCAGGGCCAGGATTCAGACTTCCATATTCAGAGAGAGACTCCAATTTCAGTGCCGGAACACCACACTACTTTCTAATCCAAATCCATCATTTTACAAAACAGGAGGTGAAGTGATTTTCCCAAGTCAAACTGTTACTGCTCAGGGTCATTTCTTTTTCCCTGGATAGACACAGAGCTAATAAATCACTGTATCAGCAAGGGAAAGGTACAGCTTTGCATTATGGCTTACTATCTCACCACTTCTTGGCTCTGTTTCCTGCCTGGACCTTCAGATTCCTCCCCTTGGACCAAGAACTTAGTGTTGTCTAAGAACACCAACTCTTCTTTCCAAGAGGCATATTCCAGGCACTCCTCCGCTGTTCTAGGCACTCCTCCATAACTCTGCTTCCAGCTTGGCCTAGGCATTGCCTGATGTTTTATTGCTACTTCTAGCTCCTGTCCCCTCTAGGAAAAGTACCCATCTCTTCCAGACCCTCTGGCACCAAATCCAATGCTCTTCTGAAGATATCATACTCTGCTCAGATTCAGTTTCTATTACTTCAAAGTAACTGATCTCCTTTATTTGGCATTTAAAGCCCTTCATAGCCTGATTCTAATCTACCTCTGTCTTCTCTAGACTTAACTATATTTCCCTTCATACACTCTGTACCTGCCTTCTTGTTGTTCCTTAAACACGACAATCCATCTCCAGTTGACAGGCTTTTACACAGGCTGTGCCCTGTGCCTGAAATACTCTTCTTTCTCCTCCCATTCACCGCTTAGACTCCAGTTTCCTTAAAAGGCTCCCATATAAGCTCCTTGAAGGCAGAGACTGTCTTCTGCCTCTTTGGCCAAAGCTTAGCACAATGCCGAGTACTCACATAGTAGGCACTTAATAAATGTTGACTGACTGAAATATGAATTCTTTTTTGTAACTTTCTCATTCACTAATTCAGACATGTCTCAAATCTTTCCCCACATTAGGATTAACTTTCCTAAAGTATTGCTTTTATTACCTCACTTGGTATGGAACGGTGCAAATAACAACAGACCCACAAGCCTCTGCTGCTGCCCAGGTAATGGAACCCCGAAGTCCCTTCCAACTCTCTGTCTATGACCCTGTGACTAGGAAGAAAGTAATCTCTCATCTCTGAACCTATTTCCTCATTGGCAAATGTGGGCGACAATACCTGAATTACCTGTCTCATAGGATTTCTGTGCTGAAAAATCCTATGGAAACGTTAAAGAAGTATATAAATAAGGAGTATTATTACCTAAAACTTTCAATGATTCTCTTTGGTCTATAGGATTAAGCACAGCATTTGTGGCTCTCCCCAGTTTCGATCTAATACACCTCACCAATTTTATCTCCTGAAACTCTACTACAAAACCATACTCCAATAAGAACAGTCTATTCATAGCTCCTGAAAAACGACTGGCACATTTCTATTTCTAGGCAAGTGCTCACACTATTCCATTTAATTTGACTGCCTTCCATCCTTTTCTTCACCATTCCACTCTTAATCAGCTCACGTGCCATCTGCTCCAGGAAGTCTTCCATGACCATCTCTCTTCACAATGATCCCTCCCTTTCCCAAATTCCTATAGCACACTTCTGGGATACATACACTGGAATATCCTACATGTCACAGCACAAAGAGACTGGACATGGGGTCAGAAAACCTGGATCAAAATGCTTCTTCTGACATTATCTGTGTGGCTTTGGACAAGTTACTTAATTTCCCTTGGCCTCAATTTCCTCACCTGTAAATTGAGAAAAGGGACAGGATAAACTATAAGGTCTCTTTCAATGCTACAGCTATAAGCCTTTATATCCTCAGTGTTTAGCACGACGCCAAGCATATGGTAGGCACTTAATAAATGGTTACTGACTAATTCTCTTATTCATTATCATATTATGTGCTTATGTCTTTGCGTCCCACAAAGATTACAAGCTACTTGAGGGCATGTGCTACACCTGCTTCTCGTCTCATAAAGGCAACATTAAATAGCCAATGCACACCATCAGGTGTAGGACCATGGGTCCAATCCTGGCTCTGATACTTACTAGTTTGAGCAAGTCCTTTTAACTTATAAACTTATAAATCATTTATAAAAAGGAGGATAGTTCCATTCAATGTAAAAAAGGTAAGAAACATTTATCAGGCACCATGCTGAATGTTTCAGAGAGTTGTTATTCAAAGAGTTCTTTGTAAAACATAATGTGCTATATAAACATTAGGTTTTAATAGTCATTATTATGTATATCCTACAGATTAAAAAAAAAACAACTATACATCGCACACAACAGAAAACTCGATAAAAATTTACTTCTCGACTATGCTCCCTGCATTGTAGGGTAGCTAGGAGCAAAGCACTCTGTAAATGTGAAGTGTTAACATACAGGTAAATGATAATATGGAGGCACAGGCTAGGAATGCCAGGTTAGTGCAGGTCTTTCACAGAGGGGTCAAGTAGGAAGCAGGACAGGACAAAACGAGAACAACTAAACATATACATTTCCAAATCGGTGGTCAGCTGGAAAGAGGACGGAAGAAAACAAGACTGTTCTAATGCAGACCAAGATATTTCATCATCTTGTCCCCCTCCGCCCAACCTCCTCCCACACAGCACTATATTAGAGATGTCATAGCTTAAAAGAACTTTCAGATAGTGAGGTCTAACAGCAACAGAAGGATTTATAAAACTAGTCAATGACTTGCATATGCTTTAATTAAATTTGATTATCAAGCGCTAAGTAAGGAATTACAGATGATCACAATCGTCATTAATCCTCCAGTCTCATTTAAGTAAATCTTTCCAAAGTCCACTCCCTTTTCACAGCCTTTTCCTTCCATTCACAGTATATGTATCTTGCAACACAATTTTTTTTGTAAGCTGTCTCCTCTACTAAAATAAGCTCTCCTTTTGGGTAGGAGCTGTGTTTTCAACTCTTGGTATACCTAGCACTCATCACAGTGTCTAAGACGTAAGTAAACACTTACTTAATGTTTTTTTTTTGTTTTTTTGGTGAGGGCAATTGGAGTTAAGTGACTTGTCCAGAGTCACACAGCTAGTGAGTGTTATATGTCTGAGGCCGAATTTGAACTGAAGTCCTCCTGACTCCAGGGCCGGTGCTCTATCCACTGCTCGACCTACCTGCCCCTACTCAATGTTCTTTGATTGACCCACAACTCCTCCTCCTCGCTACAAAAAATTTTTTTCTATGAGTTGCTTGAAGTGAAATAACTAAAAGATAAGCAGTTCAAAGTATAAAAGAAGTAGTACTGGGGTATCAACTCATCCAAATTCACATTTTACAAAGGAGGATATAATACTGAGGGGAAAGTAAAGTGAAGTAACTTACCCAAGGTCACAAAGCAACTGAGAGAAAGGTCAGAATCAAGGGAGGATTCGAATGCATATCCTCTGATCTCAAATTCTCTCCTCTTTCCACAATAGCATGGTTCCTCAACAATCAGGGCCGAAAATTTTTTCAGCTGGCAAATACCCTGATTTCCAAAAGGAAATTCTACAACCTATAACCTGGTGAGCTTAACATTTCTTTCAGGGAAAATTCTAGAATGGGTTATTAAATGGCTGGACTGTGAACATTCAGAAAGGGAAGGCATCATCACCAGGCACAAGCATTCATAGAATGGGAACATATCATGAAAGGAAACATAGTATAAACTGACTTAGAGAATCAGAGTCCTGCCTTTTGTCACACTGGCTATGTGGCCCTGAGGCAAGTCACAACCTCTCAGTAGCCCAAAAAACACTTTAAGACTACAAAGTTACACAGAAACCGGCTATCTGCAATAGTTACAAACATCAATGAAATCACGGATCAAAAAAAATATCGTGCCAAAGCAATCTCAGTTCACTTCCTGATGGAGTTACTACACTGATAAATGCTATAGTCATACTATTCATGCTACAGCTAGATTTCAACAAGGCTTATGATAAAGTGTCTGGTGACATCCTTCGGGGAAAAGGTGACAGGTTGTGAATTAGATGGCATTTGAGAGTTCAAATCTGATTAATTGTCCAGAACTAGAGAGCATAGAATAGTGAATTGAAGTCAAGAGTGGTAAATATTTGAAAGAAGAGAATGATTGAGCTATTATATAATTTAAGGAAAATGAAAACAAAAAAATTGAATTTAGTGAAGGGTGGGATTGTCATTAACCTAAGAAAAGAGGGAGAGCAGAGAAGATACTATAATGCTTATAAGGCAATGGATGATGAATCAAAAGGGAGACATCAGGCGAGGCCCACTTATTCAAGAGAGGGGGATAGGTAGTAGGTAGCAAGCACAGTCATCAGAAAAGAAAAAACAGAATGGGGGAAAATATATAGATTTAAAAATAGAGAGGAGAAAGTTCATTAAAGGGAAATCTGATGATGCTGAAGGGACATGAAGAAAGATTAAAATGACAGGTGGAAGAGTTAGTTTTAGAACAAAGTTTTAAAAGCTACCTCTTCTTCTAGGGGTGAAGGGACAGATACAAAACATATAGACACTAATAATAAGTAACAATAAAGATGAACATGCCAAATGATTTAGATCCATATAGTGAAAAAAGTCACCTGCTGAGGAGAGTGAGAGCTCAAGGCTGAGATATATATAAGTTTAAGAATTAACTGACCAATCCACAAAAACTCAAACAAATCTACCATCCTCTGTATTTCTGCTATTTGTCTTACAAAATCTGGCTCCTTGAGTGCTAACTTAACTTTTTCCTCCTGAATATATTTCCTGGATATTTGTGACAGTATCTCTTAGATCTTAGTAAGAATTTCAAGGTTGAAGGAAAATAAACATTAAAAGAAAATCCTATCACAGAATTTCAGGTCTAGTCCAACCTATCCCTGAGCAGTAATCCCCTATACAGTACCATCAAACAAAAGCAATCCATGCTTCCCTTGCCTAAAAGACCACCCAACTCAAAGGACTCACTAATACCCCAATGCAGCCCATTCCACTTTTGGACATTCCTAATTGTCAGTAAGTTTCTTCCTTACATTGAGCCTAAGTCTCTCTGTCTCTTCCACGCACTGGTGACAAACAAAACACGCATAATAATGATGGTCATGTCAAATGACAGAAGAAAAAGGAAATTTGAGGTGCTAGACTCCAAACTAGAGCATCTCACAAATACTAAAATGGACTAAATGTACTAAAAAGTACTAAACATTTTTTCAATCAATCAACAAACATTATCAAGTTCATCTGCTGTATGACAGATACTGCGCTAGGCAGGAAAAAATTAACCCATCAATCACTGCCCTTAAGAAGTTCAGAGGAGAAAACATATACTTATAGAAATACTGACCAAATTAAAAAAAAAAAGGAAATTAGGGGATGGAAGGAACAGTTGGGGAGAATCAAGAAAGGCTTCATGTAAGAGGTAGTGAACTGAATCTTGATGTAAGTATGGGATTCTAAAATGCACAAGAAAAGAATGAATTTCAAGCATGGTGGCAGCAACTACAAAGGGTTGAAGATGAAAGATTTGCAGTTGTATAGGAAACAACATTTAAGGAATAGCAAGGAGGCCCAGTTTGGCTAGTCCATAGAATGTTGGCAAGAGAATGAGGAAGAGGGGGGAAAATGCTTATTAACTGAAAAAAAAAATTTTTTTAATAAGAAAAGTGGAGGTGAGAGGTGATGAGGTCTTGAACTAGGGTGGTGACCAACAGGGGGAGAAAAAAGGACAGATATCAGAAACAGCAAGATGAGGCAACTTATTGGATATATGAAGGGAGAATGAGGATAACTCTAAAGTGTCATCCTAGAAGATCATACCTTAAGAGGATTACAAATGACCTCAAAAAAAATAGGAAAGTTCAGTAGTTGAGGGAAAGGATGAGTTCTATGTTGGGCATACAAAATTTGAGATGGCTCAGAAATAAATAAGTGAAAGGAAAGAAAAAAATGGGAGAGTACTACGGGAGAAGTGCTCACGGCAAAATGCCATCTGTTTTCTCAATCAAATATGAGACAAGGTTAAATGCTTAGTGTGGGTCTGGTACTAACTACAGATATAAAGAAAAAAATTAAATAGCCCCTGCTCTCAAAGAGCTTACATTTTATAGTTTAATTTATTTTTATTATATTACTTATACATAGAATGTAACCATGGTATGTATAGAAAGGAGAATGAGCTTCAATTTTTTTTTATGGAACCAATGTCATTATTTTATAGCCATATTGTGTTTGTATATGTGTATATGTGTATACATAGAAGCAAGCAAGTTATACATATATCATATATATATTATCTTTTCACACTGACAAAAGGAGGCAAAGCTATGAAGACTAACTCCTCAAAATGGGTCTGTCTGATGCTGGTACTCAGAGACTGGAGCACATTCCTATTAACCCTGATCACAAGAGGCTGAATTTCTTCCTTCCAAGGTGGATTTATTTTTTTTTACATCGGCCAACTTAGAGCCAAGTCTGATGAATATGGTGGGGAATCTAGCTAAGGAATGCTATTTTTGGATTAAAAATAAAGGTAGTATAAGTAGAAAGCAATTACAATGATTTATTTTCTTTCTTTCTAATGTTTTCCCAGTGCCTTTTGTAAAAGTGATTTTCCTGTTTGGCTCTGAAGTAATTTCTCCCAAAAGGAGACATATTCTGGCCAATTTCATCAGCAGTGGAATAAGGGTATGGACTTCCAAGTTAATTACTCTGAAGGGGAACAAACTTTATTTGAATCTATGAGTTCTGGTGTATTTGTAGAAAATCTCAGATGCATTACTTTAGATCAGGGCAGAGGTTCTTAACCTGGAATCCATGAATAGATATCAGGGAATCCCTGAACTGGGACCAGAAAAAAATTATATTTTCTCCAACCTCTAACTGAAAGTTAATGTTTTCTTCAATTATAAATAAATTAAAAAAAAAAAAAAAACATTATTCTGTGAAGGGGTCCATAAGCTACCAAGGGGCTTCATGACTACAAAAAGGTTAAGAACTTTTACTTCAGTCACACCTAAAGTATTTGTAAAGAAATTCCCAAGGACACAAACACTTATTAGGGCAAGGAGTAGCTGTTCCAATCCAGTTTGGCCATATGGTAAACAACCTTCTTGGGGAGAGAAATGTTTGAGGGAACGTAAGGATAGATGAAGTGAATTTATTTCCTTAAAAAGAAGAAAATAACCTTAGCTAGCCATGTGAAAGTTTACATAAGGAGGACTAAATTGCACTCTGTACCACATGAGGCCTATTTTAAAGAAAGTTTAGGGGTCATGTTGGTGGTTCACAATTGCACTGTGCCAAAGGTTGTCATCTGGGGATTGCTAGAACAAGGGGATTTCTACATGGCATTTTCTTTCAAGAAGTTCAAGAGTACAGGATATGTAGGGGCTCTTATCTTTACCACACGGCCAGGAGGCAGGGAGAAGACAATAAGCAGGTATCATCATTACTGCTACCCTCTGTAAACTACAGCAAATAATTAACTGTTGAGTGGTTTATGATATGACTGGTACAAGTCAACGAACCTAGAGCCAAGAGGCAGAAAATAAATTATTCATACTTAGGCCTCTGACCTGGAATCCTAACAAATTATTATTTTCTCCCAGAAGAAAGAGAAAGTAAGGGCTTGAGGCCAGTGATATTTTTTTTAATTTTTCATGCTGTTTCTTTCTCCTGTAATTAGCATGTCAATATCACCGTGAGGGGAGGGAAGCACAAGTCATAAGTAACTTTGCTGTCAATGGATAAAAGTTCCTATAGATTCACAGGAACATAAGTGCCTGAAGGAGTCCCAGAGGTATTCTAGTGCTATCTGTACATGAAACACAAGTCACCTCTACAGCTGGTGAGATGGCCCAGTGGATGGAACTCTAGACCTAGAATCTGTAAGACCTGAGTTCAAATTTGACCTCAGACACTTACTAGCTTTATGACCCCGGGCAAGTTACTTAACCTGTTTGCCTAATTTCCTCATCTCTATGGAGAAATGAGAAAATATCTGTAAAGCGCTTACAGTGCCTGACAGAAAGGAGATACTTAATAAATGTTTTGTTTTTTTTAATCTGGTCTCTATTTGAATAACACTAATGAGGAACACATTACCCTTCTAGGGGCACCTGTGCTTTAAGTATCAGGAAGCCTTCCAATTTACTGGTATAAACATAACCACTTAACTGGACCTTAGTTTTCTCCTGAAAAATGAGGAGAGTTTTGTTAAAATCCCCTTAGGCTTTAAATCCCAGGATCCTAAGATCACTTTAGTTCTTATGATCTGAGTCAGGAATTCACATCTCTTCCACCTCCTAACCTCAGGAATGCCAAGTGGCCCAAGAGGCAAGTCTTTCAGTTGCACAGGAGATGTGCCATCGGCATCCCTTCCTCCTCTTCCCTCTACTTTCTCCCCTTTTGCTCACTTTTCAATCCCTTTCAATCTAGCTTCCAATCTCTGGAAGTACTCTCTCCAAAGCTACCAATGATCTCTTAGCTGACAAGGCCAAAGTCATCTTTTCTGACCTTTCAACAGCACTTGATATTGCTGACTACCTTCTCCTCTCTGAGTTTTGTTGTCATTGCTCTATTGGTTTTCTTCCTACATACATGCAGAGCCCTTCTCAGGATCCTTTGCTGGACCATTTTTATCCCTTCTGCTACAAAGAACCCAAAGACTCTGTCCCAGGTCCTCCTCTTCCCCTTTCTCTCTATAACTTCTCCTTCTTTGTGTTCCCAGAGCTCAAACACAGTGCCTGGTTCATAATAAGCATTTAATAAAGGCTTCGTAAGGGACTGATGGTTATGTTACCAGCATTTATGGATTTCATCATGATCTATACATAGATGATTCCCAGATCCAGGCATCCATGCCTACTCTCTCTTCTGAAGTCCAGTTGTACCTTACCCAACTGCCTAATGGCTACCTCCCAGTGGCTGTCCCATTTTGGTTCAGTCGTTTTTCAAGTGTCCAATTTTTTGTGATTCCATTTGGGTTTTTCCTAGCAAAGATACTGGAATGGTTTGCCATCTCCTTCTCCAGCTCATTTTACAGATGAAGAAACTGAGGTAAACAGGGTTAACTGATTTTCCCAGGGTCACACAGCTAGTAAGTGTCTGAGACTGGATTTGAACTCTGGAAGATGAATCTTCCTGACTCTGGGCACAGTGCTCTATCCACTACACCATCTAGCTGCCATAAGCATCTCAAATTCAACATCCAAAACAACTCATTTGTATTATCTCCTACCCCTCCTCTGTTCCTTACTTCCCCATGTCTTTCCACATCTGTCCCCTTCTCTCCACTCGGACAGCCACCAATCTCATTCAAGCCCTTATCACCTCTCACTTATCATAGTGCCTGGTAAATAATAAGTACTTAATAAACGTTTAATCTCTCTCTGTCACCTGTGAACTATTGAGCTAGTCTCCTACCTCCTATTGAGGTCTCCCTACCTCAATTCTCCCCTCACTCAAATACATTCTCCAAACAAGTGGCCAAAGTGATTTTCCTTTCATTCTTATCCTCCAGAATTTGAGAGACTCCCAACTGCCTCTATGCCTCTTCTGACTGGCATTTAAAGCCCTTCATAATCTGGTCATTTCCTATTCCTTCTCTTCATCCATTCTATGTTCCTGCCAAACTGACCCTTCTGCTGTTCACCATACAAAAAAAATACACTCCCCTCCTCATGTCTGCCTACTAGAATCTCTGCTTTCCCTTATAAGCTAAGCTCAAATGCCACGACCTAAAGCCAGCCCTCTCTCCAAAATTAACATGTATTTTACTTTGTATATATTTTGTTTTTACTTATATGTACTTGTTTCCTCCAATTTAAATTATACAAATTATATAATATGATATAATTATATAAATTATATTATTATATTATGTACTGTATTAATTATATACAAATTTAATTTAAATAAATTCTTTGAGATCGGGGACTATTCCATTGATATCTTTGTATGCATAGCACCTGGCACATCAGATATGCTTAATAAATCCCATGGGGAGCTCTCTTGCAGGAAATTCTAGCAGTTTTTGAAGTACTATGGATTTGCACTTAAAATCCAATCAAACAATACACATATATTAATCAAGCAATGGGAATAGGAAAAGATAGTCTCTGCCCTCAAAGAGCTTATAATCCATTGGGGAAGAGATAATGCAAGCAAATATACAGAAAGGAAGTTATATACAGGATAAAATAGGAAATAATTAACAGAGGGAAGGCACTAGACTTAAGGGAGTTGGGTGAAGGCTTCCTGTAGTAGCCAGAATTTTAGCTGGGCCTTAACCGAAATCCAGGGAGGTCAGTAGTCTTAGTGGAGGAGGTAGACTGTTACAGACATGAGAGACAGCCAAAGAAAATATCCAGAGCTGATAGATGGGAGTGTCTGCTTGGTGAAAAAGCCAGGAGACCAGTGTCACTAGATTAAAGAGTACCTGTTTAGAAGTAAGGTATAAGAAGACTGAAAAGGGAGGAGGGCGCTTAGATCATAAAGGGCGTTGAATGCCCAAAAGAGAAATTTTGTATTTGATCCTAGAGGTAACAGGAAGTCACTGGAGCAGCAACACTGTAAAAGGTACATTGAACCATGGACACTGGTCACTAAAAACCCAGCTACTGGTAGGCATCACCACCTGGATTCCAGAAAATATTTTCCTTTATACCACATGACTTCTAAAAAGATATTTCCTTAAGTGAATCTCCTACAGAGATGCAGCCTTCTGTTATGTCATCATCCCAGGATTAGCCACATTCCTGCCTCAGGTGTTCCTAAAACCCTGACTAGTAAAGAGTTGATGAGGTTAAATAAAAGTTTTTTTCATTTTAAATCCTTGTTATTAGAGGCATGGTGTTTTAGAAGAAAACTTCATCAGGAGAACTTGAATAAAGTTAAAGAGATGCTGAATACAATGGAAATTTCTCTGCTCTTTTTTTTCCTCTGTCCAAATCTTAGGATAAATTTCTGTTTCTTCCACGCAGGCTTCCATGATTACCTTTGCGTTCACTGATTTCCCTCTCCTTGGAAGGCACAGAGCACTTTTTTTATATGACAAAATGTAACTCAATTAAATTCAGCAAACATTTGGTGTTCTGGGTGCCTGGGTGTCCAGCAGTGTGCCCTGAGAGGTAGATTCAAAGTTTAAATAAGACATGGTATCTGCTCTTAAAGACCCAACTGGTTTCACTAAGAGATAAGACATATGCATAGGTAACTGCTATTACATGATAAATGCATTAAAGAAGCACAGAACAAGGGGTTTTGTGAAGTCTGAGGAGGAAAAGTTGTTTCCCACTGGAGAGAATCAAAAATTTCATGCTTTAGATATATTCTGGGTAGTGTTACCTGCTGTTTCACAAGTAGAAGTTCTGTATCCTCAGCGGAATTACAATCCTTTCTATTTTCCATAACACTCACTGAACTGGATATAAAGGTGCTCAAGAAATATTTGTGTTTGTTCAGGTTTCGTTTTGCTGGGAGCAGAGGGGGGGGCCTCGCCAGGGTGTTAAATAGGAA